CTGGCAATCAAAAATTCATTAAAATGATATACGTTACTTTGTTGTTTTGTCTGTTTGTGCTGTCGGTGGGTTGAGGGTTGTGTTTTTTCTGCGGGTCGTGTCCGCATCTAATGGGCGCACTTGTCTTATGTTATTTACGGTTCCGATAGACATCGCGAGCCGACTTCACTATCACCTGCTTATCGTATGCTTACATTTGACACAATGTCACTGAGATAGTGGTAGACTATTGGATATTTTTAATTAACTAAACCACTGAACGTTCTAAGAATTTAACAAAATATAAATAGTTTTATTATGGTAGCACGATAAACATGGAAACTGCTTCTGTGTGTTAAAATTGATTATTAATTCAGAAAAACTTCTCATAAATTTCACCTTTACTTAAAACTAGAAGACCTCTCTCCTATCAACTCACTGCACTCAATCTCTTTACAGATGCAATAAATCACCGGAATGATCTGAACAATATAATACGCACACGTGGCCTGTTCACGCAAGCGGTGTCGTGACCGCGGCCCATTAGTGTGGATCGGTTCTAATGCGTGCTTTATCTCACAAATCTACGGATGCTGGGAAAATTCGGTGGCTGTGTGTGTGCACATCATTCTCACAGATTATTTAATATTATCGCCTCATAACATGCTAAGAGATTTAGAAGAACGCGTTACTCATTTGTTTATCGTTTGGATTTTGTTAATGACCTATTATAGTTACCAGTCTGATAGCAAATGGATTTATTAAATTACTAGCTGTTGCCCCTGACTTGGTCCACGTCGAATTAATGAAAAACTTTTTTTTGTGGTGAGAGGTGGCAAAGGAAGTGAAAGAGACTATATTAGGCCTCCGGGACGCACACTCATCAGACGAAACGCGGAATTGCTTCCACTTCACGCCTGTCTTCTGTGTGGTCGTGGTATTTCACCGGGCGAACCAGGCCAATTCGTGCGAAGATGTTAAAGCGGGCTCTACCACTGTTAACTGAATTAATAGCCTATGTTTTCTTGCAGAGTATGTTCTATGTGCATTACAAATTTCATCGAAATCTGTTGAGCTTTTCTAGAGATACCTTCTAACAAACATACATCTATCTAGACATTCGCATTTATATTATAAGAACTAACTTAATTTAAAGTAAAAAAAATCATTATTTTATTCTCTTTTAAATTTCAATACGTAAACAAAAACTATAAACAATTATTTTCCTCATATAAAAAGACCAAGCAACAACAAATGAAAATCATAGTATAACACAATAATGTATAGAACGCAACCCCTCAATGGCCGTGGGGCTTGTCTCCTTCAATTGTATAGCAATTTGTCAACGAACCCACTAGTATGAGGGGTTGATACTACCCCACTTCTCTCATCTCGCATTTGTGTTTAATCGAATGATTATTTTATTATCAACACTAATACAACAGGCTTAAATATTCTTTATATGATTTCTACAACACTTCAGACATATTTCTATACTATAGGGTTAACGTTCTAGAATAACAAAGTGATCCTGTGAGGTACGGAACCCTAAAAATGGCTGTATTTTTCTACTTGAAAATGCTTAAAGTTTCTATCTACTGTAGAGAAAAAATCAACACCTTTTGAACGGCGTTTATTAGTTTGTTATAAGTTTAGTATAACAAACTACTTTTTCAATAAATAATTGATTGAAAGAAGCGTCATGTTTCATTAATTCAATAAAAAATAAACATTTTCAAGCTGTTCATTTACATAAAAACAGTAGAGTGTCATTTCGTCACGCTTGTTATAGTACCCTGTATTCCAGCGAGTCAACCCTCTTACAACCATCAGTCTGGTTACATTATTCCGCTATTATTCACTGGCATACAAACACAATGGTACTCTAGAGTTTTAATGCTACTTGAAAAAGAATACACACTTACATAAGTATAATATCTTACTAATATTATAAACGCAAATGGACGGATGGAAGTTTCTTAGAAGGTATCTCCAGAACAACAGCATTTATCTCCCTGAAATGTGGCATAGATATAGATATAATCTGGACGAACACATAGACTACTAGTTAAGTTTTTGTTATACCGCGCGGGTGAAGTCGCGTGCGACAGTTATTCTCACATACAATGTTTCTTATACTTACTATTATGCAATTCCTAATAACCATTTTTAAATGAAAACAATTTAATTATTGAAAATATCTTAGGAATTACATGCTACCGATACCATCCGATGATTAAATCAAGAAACAAAACATCGTTAAAAGTAAAAAAACAATACAATTTAACACTCTAGAAATGGCCATGTCTAAAATCATTAGCAAGTAATTCGTAATGGGTGAATATAGCTTACAAAGCACCAAACACAATACGTGCTCTATCAAAAGTACACACAACACACAAACAGCACAAATCAAAGCCCCCCCTCCACGGTTAATCAATCTGTGTGCTAATTTCCACCCCCTGTGCCCTCTTTAATATTTTGAGGGGTGTGTATGGGAGATCAACGCGTGATATTTTGTTTTTTTTTTCACACGTCTAATGCGTCTGTAATTCATTTGAATTTAAATAATCAGATTAATCATTTCTACGAAAAAGCTGCAGTAAAATTTATATAATATTGGTTGTCGCTCCGACTCCGTCCCCGTGGAATTAAGACAAAGTTAGTGTGTACCTATGTGTCCTTCCAGACTATGTTCTACATCCTTGCCAAATTTTAGCGAGATCCATGCAGCTGTTCTGGAGATACCTTCTAACATGCATCCATCCATCTAAACATTCGTATTTATAATATAAGTAAGATTATTTTCAGAGAGAAGCAAGTCTCCAAACATGTTCGATGTGTGTGAAAACTTAAATAATTGTTCAATTTCGAGCAATGGATGAATAAAGCCTATAAACAGTTGGTCATATTATTAAAAATGTTTTAACGCGGGCTTTTAATTATGAAAGCTCTAACGAAGTGTTTACGACTCAGAGCTTTACTGCGCTGTGTCGCCGACCTTACGCTGTTCCTTTTAATTTATCTCAACATTTAATAAAAATGTTTAGTTTAATTTGCTCTCTGTCTGATGAACTACAACTTTACGAGACGCTGTGAGATTCTATCATCAATATAAATTCATTTTATCCTACATTTTAATTAGGTGTTAATATTATGAGTATTTATTGCTCTATATTTAGACAATATTATGTTTAAGTAGTCTCTGTCGATGTTAAATCTTTTTATCAAATTTTTAAAGAACTAGAAAAGACAGTTAAATTACATTACATCTTACCATGGGTTTCTTAGCCCTAAATTTCTATTTAAAATATACTGTCATCGCTAAAGTTTATATCACAAGGATGACAACATATTTTCTACAGATATTGTTGTCTCAGAAAACAACAGTTACTTCTTCAAGTATTTCATCGTTATGCTACAGATGTAAATGTGATGTTGCAGGTGTTGAAGTACTGCGAACATCTGCACGGCAAATGGTACTTCAGCGAGGTGCGCGCCATCTTCTCGCGTCGTTACCTGCTGCAGAGCGTCGCCATCGAGATGTTCCTTGCCAGCAGGAGTTAGTATATTTTATATGTACCAGTATGGCCGACTTTAGAAGTTCAAGTGCATGTGTAACTATACGTTTTCGCTGTCTTAACTTACCTATTATGTAGAGAAACATATTTCTCAATCGCATCACTACAAACAAGAGAAGTTCTTGTTTTCCAAGCAAGATTACTAGTTGTTTGAATTGCTAGATTAGCTTTCAATTAATAAACATTAATAGTATTGTTTCTCGTGACTTATGTGTGTGTTTTTATTTTCCAGCTTCAATCTTCTTCGCGTTCCCTGACCAGGCGACTGTCAAGAAAGTGATCAAAGCCCTGCCCAGAGTGGGCGTTGGCATCAAATACGGCATACCACAGACAAGGTAAGTTGTAGACAAGAAATTACTGTAAAAATATTTTACTATTTATAATAATTGCAGTGCAATTAAATAGTACTAACGCCATCTGTGATTCTAAATAGGAACTGCGGTAGATTGGCCGTTGTTTTATTTTGTGAACCAACTAATAGATGGCGCTTGTAATAATTGTGAATACGTGCAATTTTTCAAATATTTTTCGTTACGTATTTCAAGTATTATAGTTAAAAACTGAGGACAAGTATTTCGAAGTTAGTATTTCTCGTCTTATTCGATATTTACCTAATAACGAGATTGATTTTTAACTCAAGCTTTACAAAATTAGTCAAATTATTGCGTTTCGGAATTACGCGGTACTTATAACTAAGACATTTATAGTGAAAAAGAGCTAATTGAAATTTATTTATTTTAATTTACATATCAACATAATAATTAAGACGGTAAATCTCGAAGAATGTTATAAAATTTGACGTATATTTTATGTAACAGCAAATCTGGAACGAAATCACTTTGGCACAAAAACAATAGGCGTCTGACTTTTTCTTTCACAATTATCATTTTATGAATTGCTGGTAGCAAAAACAGCAATTATATTTTGTAAACAATTATAAATATAATTAATATAAAGATCTAAATTATATTTAAATATGCATTAATATATACGTAATTTATTTGTTCCGAGTTGATATGATTATATTTCAAAATGTTTCTCACAATAGGATTTTGTTTACGGAAATTGCACAATACTAATTATTGTTTTTGCTTAATTATTTAAAAAGATAAAACATGGTTTCCCCAGATTTGTAAAGTTTTTGAATAATTTATACCCTGTTCATATTATGATAAAATTGGAGTGTCGGTTTCTAATACCGAACCAAAAAAAATCATATACACATGACGTATTTGCGTGGCTAATGACAAAAAAAAACTTTTTTTTATTTTTTTCCATCTATCCGCGAGGCCGCGTTGACCGCTAATTATACAATAAAAGTGTGAATTTAGAGTAATTGTCGAGGTAAATATTTGAAAAAGAAAAATAGCTAGAATGTGGAATACTTCTTTATGAAGTGAACAGTGAACATTAAATAAATAGGAATAAATAAAACAAACATAAAAACATCACACGATTTTATTTCACACAAAACTAAAAGTAAATCATATTCGTCTTCATCACAGTTATTATATCTTACTTATACTAATATTAAATATTAATTATTTTGTAAGTTTGTATCATTAAGGCACGAAATAGATTTTAATATTCAGACTTGTTCAGTCGCAATGTATACGACTACAACATTTTGTATCTTAAATTATTTAAAAAAATAATTCGGTATATCACCTTGTATACTTGTATACCTGTATACTTGTATACCTGTATACTTGTATACTTGTATACTTGTATACTTGTATACCTGTATACTTGTATACCTGTATACTTGTATACTTGTTACTAATGGAATGTTTATTACATCTATATAAACAATAATCACTCGAAATACTATAATACTGATCACAAACATTTTAAATAAATACAATCATCTGTACAACATATTAAC